CAGTGCCGAGCCGGTTTCCACTGTCATTCCACACCTTAAAGTGGAATGGAGAAGAGATTTCAGCATAGTACAACGTCCTCAGACTACGGATACTTTCTGTAACACTTTTCCAAACTGTCATACCATGCATGTCAACTCAAAATGGAGGATTTCGGGGACGAGACTCGTTATGCCCTAAGTTACGCTCTTTGACCCTGTCCAGTCTTCAGGAAACTTCACGTTCCCGTCAACCATGTATAAAGCTTATTATCAACGGACCAGAGTATAGGATCCTGGAATACGAGCATTCGGTTATTTGCCCCCACAACCCGAGACGCTGCAGAACTTCAGGACAGACTGCGCTGTTCAAACTGCTGATTCAATGCTGGCTTATCGATAGTCATTTGCACAATCATAAGGTACAGTACGACTCCGAATCTGTATTTTCTAACACCACCCTGTCACCGCCAAGCGACGTATTGCGAAAAGCGAACATCAGCAGATCCCCCACTAAGCCGAGAAGAGCAAGTGGAGGCACGACCGTACCCGACCCGGACAGACTAGTCTTGCTGGACTGTGGAGGTTTTCAAGGACCTTGCTGGGATGGGCTAGAGTGCGAGACTAGGACGGAATTACCCAGTCTTTTGGTCAAGCTCCATGTCGAAGGCCAGTAAGCTCGAAATCTGAAACAGACTACGCGTACCTCATCCCTCCAATTACACGAATGGCCTGACTCGGGAAAAAGTGGCGACGGTGTCTGGGTGTCCAGGTATGGTATGTCGTGATCCGTAGTGCCTGTCTTGGTACGGAGTACTGAGAGTGGTAGATATGCAACGCTTGCAACTTTCTGGTACTTATTTCCGTGCTTGGATGCAGATCCTCATTGATGGAATCTATTATGGGCAATTCTTGGGGGAAATTAAAAGAGAATTTGATGTTCATACGCTCATGGAGCATCCGCAGAGCTACGTACCTACTTTAGAAATAGAATACATACTGTGAGTTCAGAGTTTCCCTGTTGACCTCTCCCTAACAGTCCTTCAAAACTTAAGCTTAGCCTCATTTCATAGACTTTCAACTAGAGCTCCCCAAACTCAACTGACAGTAGAAGACACCTCGAACATTCGACCGGCCCGGCTTCAGTACCAGCTTTAGAGGTCAGAGGACAGAATCCAAACTAAGTTTCAGGGCGGCGAGCACGTGCCTCGAGCGTCGATAGTAATGGTAACATCTCCGTCCTCCGCCGACGCCATAATCAATGATCTGGCCACCTTCAGTCCAGGCCTTAGGCTTTAGGAGGTCCCGTGTGCGCTATGACATTGCCTGTCACTGTGCTTGAAATGAAGCTGTGGTTATTGGAGAACAGATTCAAGGCACGACAGTTTTGCTCAGAGCCATCAATGCCAAGCAGCTATATGTCCTCTTAGGAGTTAGGATATTCATAAAGAACAGGCGGTTATTCATTACAGTAGGTTTGAGATGGCACCAAGCTTGTCAGGCTAGCTATTCCCTCTATCGCAATCTGCGGGGCCTGTTTATATTATGATACAGGACAACCTGGCCGCTTAATTCACTGGGGGTTTCTGTTATCGTCTCACGCATCATCAAATAAATTGCTACTGTCGAGTATTGACAGGGCTAAATAAGCCATAACGATAATAGCCAGTAATGTCCCTGTGTGGACGAGAATGGTCAAGTGGACTCTCTCTCTCTCTCGCCAGGTGGCCAAGTTGCTGCTGTGGCTGGTCTAAAGCCACCCCAACTATGCCGGATGCATCCGACACTTGCGCTAGCCGAGATGCACAACGGGGCCAAGAGAGCAAGGATTAAGGAATCAGTGTGTGCGAAAGAAGCTCCTGGTGAAAATCGCCATCTGTCAGTCTGGTAGAGCGCCCCATTGCTTTTTCCCAGAGAATAAAATAGCATGTCTTCAGTGGGAGGACTATTGTGGTTGATCCGCATCAGAGAGGATCCTAGGTTGATAGCTCAAACACGTGCACCGATGGCAACCGCTCAGCGCTCAAATCCTGATTGCGTCCACTGGGTGAGGCTACCGCATGCTAAGTCTCTATGGAGTCCACGGGATGCAGATTGCATTCGATTTGTGGAGGTGGACGTACTAAACCATGCGCTACTGTACCATACCGTAGAGGGTTATTCTTATGGAGTGGGAGTTCTTGCGTTGATGTTATCTGTTCCTGGTTCCTGCGTCTGAGAGTGCATTGGTTTGCAGCTGGTATTGGTCGACGAGGCCGAGTCTAAACCATCTATGGTATGTTGTTGATTTGCTGACTTTCATAGATAGTGTGGACGGTGGACGGCGAAAAACGTGGGATCAGACTTCCCAAGGTCCCCGAGTCCTCCATAAGGTAGTCCATACTGCCAGAGAAAGTTTCAGAACTCGTGTCTCTCTCAAGTATGGAGAACACAATCAAACTTTCCTCAGGTGGCTCTGCTCTTCAAGTTCAGAATGGACTGGAATAATCGAGGTTAAGCCCCTTGATTCTGGAGACGAAAAACAGAGTTTCTGCGTTGCCGCTCGCCGTTGACTTGACAATGCCATACTTCTGGTAACTCTCGTGACGAAACTCTAACCTGGAGGTTACTGAGCGCTGGGAAGCTTGGGATGAACTCTGCAGCTGTGATGGGTTATGTTTGCCGAGGACAGACATTTTCAGCATATTATCGAGGCCAAGCGGGGTTAGGCTCTGTTATCCAGAAATCGGGGCGTTATCACCTGGCATGACTCGAGCTGCTACCTAGCCTGTGAGATGCTCTATCTCTGAGATCGTCTACTGAGCCTATCGCGTTGATGGGCTTATATTGTCTCATACCTAGTCCCGCGGGGATCCATAACACCCAAATATCCATGAAGGGCAGGGAGTTATGGAGTAGCGGTTACCCGAGTTCCAACTTGCTACTTGCTACTACAACTGCAAGCCGAATATTGCCAAGGTGTGTGGAGAGGTGTCTCTAAGCCCTCTCACATAGACATTAGACCCAACTTTGAGAGAAATAGTCACTATTTGCTGATACGGAGACGTGCAGATATCGAATCGAATCTCGGCGTACGAAGCTAGAGCATGCCCATCTCAGATAGTGCGGTCCCAATAAATTCAGGCGTGAACTCTATCTGGAAGGATTTACTCCAATACTCCACATTCCAAGATACCTCTTTGAGTAGTTGGCTGAGAAGCTCTGAGGCTAACAGCTGCGGTGTTCTCATCAAACCGTGATACTTCAATCGAGTCTTGAAGGCGTGCATAGCCAATGGGACCATGCATGAGGCACCTGGAATAGTTATCGGTCTGGAGCGGGAGAGAGATACGATGATATGATGTGCTTCCACTGCTTCTGACTTGATTTAGGCCGTCTTCAAACCCTTGTTCATGATCGACGTCCCAATGCCCCGGAGGTCCTCCCAACCAATGACTCTGGACTCTGGAGACTACCATTCCGCCATCCCGCGAGGAAGATACCATTTGATTATCTCACGTAATGCCGAACAGCACAACAGATGGTTGATCGAGGAGCGATCAGGGAGAGAAGCAGATAAGCGGATGAGGTATTTCCTGTGGCAGATCTCTCGACACGAAACAATGGTGGCTGTTTGGTTCCTTGGGTTGAAGTGGAAATCATTGCGGCATGGGCCATGGGCCATGGCACAGAACACGAGGACATTCCAAATGGTGCGCTGTGCGTGTTGCGCAATGATCACGGTGCAAGGATCAAGGCGCGTCCTTGACTCCTCGCCCGTGCTTGATAGTCTGCTTGAGACTTTGGCTGCTGCGGGGAAGAGTTATCTTGAGAATTGAGCTCGTGAGCCGCGGCAGCATCAACTATGAAGGTGTCTACGGGTGACACTGGGCCTTGCTGAGGTGAGTAAGACTGCACCTCAACGCAAGAGACTGCATGAGAACCATGGACCTTATCCTTGCACAATACAAGCAGTCTTATAAAGAAGTCATACGAAGCCCAAGATGGCAACACAGCACGAGACCATCCGGATCTTGGAAATGCTACCGCTAAGCTAAAAAGGATTCAACACCAAGCAGCAGCCGAGCCCTGTCGACCGTGCTGAAGATGGCTGCATCATGCAAGGCACTCGAGAAAGCAATAACAAGCCACACGGACAGAAGCAGAGCATTAATCCTCGTCCTCTTTACAACCCAGTTCTCATCTCTAGACATGAAAAAGCAAAAAAAAAGAGCAAAAAAACAAGAGCGTTGTTCCCTTCTTTAGGAGGGTACACGTAGCGCAACCAACCGCGTAAACACTAAACAAACAATCCTCGAACCACCAATACAATCACCAGAAGTAAATCAGGTCAGGAGCGACAGCCTCAGTGGATGTAGAATGTTGAGATCATGCTCCCAGAGGGAGACTCAGTCTCTTCCTATCATATAATCATCCATTTGTCTCATCACAGGCTTACACCCTGTTACGATTCATGGTGTTGTCTTGAAGAGAAGGAAGGAAGAAGAGAAGAGCGAGAGAAATTCTATCTGTATCTGTACTCGCTTGGCATTTCGCATCCCACAAAGGAAAAATTGATTATGTAATACTCACCAGCCTCATATGGAAAAACAGTATCCCCATCCTCCGAATCTCCCACAAGGATAAATTTCGTCGCAGCCAGCCAACATTCTTACTTTTTTTCTTTTTTCTTTTCTTTCTTCGTGCGGCGACGCAACTACTATTTCACCCGTGTTGCCTGGACATCGATTCTCGTGATGTTATACCAGGTGTCAGTTGTGTCACAGAGCAACGGAATTGCACCCCGGTTCTACTTTATTGGTCTTTCTGAATTCTATCAAGGATGAGACCATTTGGTTTGGGATCGGACAAACTTCATTTTTTCTTTTATGTGGGTTTGAGATAGAATCGTAGACAGTAGCTGCGGATATCTGAATGAAATTGTCTTTGGAATTGGAGTTCACTGAAGTCATCGTAGTCGTTAATCTAGTCGTATGCTATGTCCGACACTGTATGGAATACTGGTATGCAATTCAGGGAAGAGCTTATTCGCCCGGCTCATCACCAATCTTCTCCAGTTTGCCCATCTCTCTCTTCTCGCCCGCCTCGCCAAAGATCCTGATCCTATCCACGCGCAGCTTCTCGCTGTCCCCATCCCCATCCACGAAGAAGATGACCAACGACGTGACGTTCTGGAACTTGACAAACCGCAAATCGATCTTCGCCGTGCCCGTCTTGGAATCCCAATCCTCAGGCTGAATCGTCACGGTCTGCGCCGGCGTGGTGTCATCCGCCTCGTCGAACCCAAGGACATGCGCGCGGTTGGTGTACAGCTGAATTGTCTTCGGACGCATAGGCGCCTCGTCGTCCTCGTCCGATCCGGACGCAGACGCAAGAGAGGTAACCTGCAGCGAATGGACCTTGAGCGTCGACTTGAACGGAACAAAGAGCATCAGCTGTTCGTCCGTATCGCTCTCCACCCAGTCCGCCGGGGCGCCTTCCTTCCTCTTCCCGTTGTCGCTCAGCGCGGACGGCTTCGACGGCTCGAAAAGCGTCTTCGCGGTGCCGAAGTCGCTATCCCGGTTCAGCAGCTCCAGGCCCTTGGGTTCGTACTGGTCTGTGATATCGCTGTATCCCTTGGGCACGGCGGCGCCGATCCAGCCGTTCCCGCCGCTGAGATCACCCGAAGCCTCGCCGGAGTCGGAGTCGTCGTTCTTGCTTGCTTCCGAGGCGAGTTTGCGGACGGCGTCGGAGAGGGCTTTGGGGTCTGCGCCGCGGACGGTGGAGATGGGGCGGGCCTGCTGGAAAACGATGAAGGTGGGCATTCTGGCGAGACTGTTAGTATCTGTGCATTTCTTGGGATCTGCGCCAGGTGTGACTGGTGCAATGTGTTTGACGTACGCTGTAACTCCATATGCACGGGCAATGTCCTGCTGCTCGTCAACGTTGACCTTGGTGAAGGTAATCCGGTTCGGGCGCGAAAGCTGTTTGGCCAGCTGATCGTATGCGGGGGCAATAGCTTTGCATGGTCCGCACCAGTCTGCGTAAACTTTTGGGGAAAAAAATAGTCAGTAGCTGTCAGTGACACGGGGATGAGTAGGCATAAGAGCTCGCGGCTGTGGGCAGCCAGGAGAGCAGCGGGGGCGGGGAATCAGCAAACTGGGAGCTTACAGTCTGCCACGACGAATCTGGAAGTCGATAGAAGCATGGTAAATTGCTCCTTCGAGGAGATGTGAATAGGTGCGGACATTATGGCGACGGATTCTGACCAGCTGAGCAGATGATTGGAAGAAGGATGAAGTTGACAGTGGGAAAGAGAGACATGGTGGTTTTCTGTTTCGGGCAAAATATGTCATCAGCTGAGCCCCTCCACAACATCGCCAACAGCACCAGCAATGCTTGCAGTCCAGAATGCTTAGCATTAGAGCTTGTCTTCTTGTGCTTCCCTGTAGCGATCTGTGCCTGATCAATCGATAATCACTGATTGAATCTGTTATCTTTCCGACGACTGCTCATAGTCATTGCCATGCTAATTTATATATACACATCATTCCCTCGAATTCACACCCGATGGTATCAAAACATAGGCTCGTAAAACTCATGGAGCAACTTGAGATACTCCATCCCATCGTGAACGTCGCATAGACGCGTACAGATCTATAGAGAGTCCTACACGTATCAGCCATTCGTGAACACACCGACCAACGCTGTGTCAGAAGCCAACTGTTCCACTCCCGGCACAGACTGCTCTATCGAGAGGCTGCAAGGACTCCATACCCAGCAAGCTCTCTAACCAAGGTCCCGCCTAGAGTGATGCGTGGACGGCTGCTCCTGACATGCCTGGTTCGAGTCGACGACTCTGAACGAGACACCACCGATCGTGCCTCTCAATCCTCTGCAGCAAGACTTTCGCAATCCTATCCAGCAGGGACAGCCAGCGAGTATCTAGCCTCGATCTCCAACCACTAGGGCGAAGACAAGCCATATAGCCAATTGCAATTCCAACCTCCGAGACATCCAAAGCTCAACCATCGCCCTCCTCCATCGCAAACAAGATCTTCATCCAGAGACTACACCCCCGGCACCCGATAACAACCTCCCCATGCTCAGCCTCCTTCTCCAAGTCCAGCTCGGTAACCATGAACCCCCTCTCATCTCCACACCGACAGCCACGATACCAGCACAGTAACCCCTCCCCATCGCCCGTCTCCTCACAGACCAGATCCTCCAAATCAACCACCTCAAGCCCCGTATGAAACGCCGTCACCGCGCTCTTCTCCCCCTTCGCCGTCGTCGCCCGCTCAAGTCGGAGCACACGGTCATATTCCGCGCGCAGGGCAGGGTCAGAGAGTGTCCTGTAAGCCGCTGTTATTTCGTCGATAGTGAACGTCGGAGAGGCATCAGCGTTGCGGTCGGGACTCGGGCGCTGGGGGATTTTCGTATCGTGTGTGGATGCGGGCGCGGGCGCCGCCGCGATCGAAGTCGCCTTATCGGGGTGGTGTTTCAGGAGAGCCTTGTGGTATGCGACCTTGAGTTGTTGTTTGGATAAGGCTGTCGGGGTGCTTGTGAGTGGGAGGTTGAGGATTTCGTAGTAATCGTGTCGTGGTGTTTGGGATCTGGTCATGCTTGCGGGCGGCTTTCTGGGAGTTGCTGGTAGTGTTTGAGCTTATTCGAGGAGTCTCGGTATTTCAGGCATGAGTGTTGCTTGATCGTAGGATGTAGTGAAAAAGGCGACTGGGATGAAGCCCGCAGGTATTGAATCGGACAAAAAAAATGCAATGTCGGTCCGCCGCCGCCTTCAACTTGAAGCGGTTCCGCCGTATTAATATTTGACTAAATCAAGTCATGGTTCTTGCCAGCTGCGACATGAACCTTTTACATTAATGCAGACTAAGCGCTACGCCCCTCAGGCAGAATTCAGAGGATGCAACCAGAACTCTACTCTAGTCGGCACGGTTAATGCTCGGAATATGTCTATTGGCACCAAGTACAGTTATAACCCAAATTTATGACATACTCCAACTCATCTGCCCAAGTTTCTCAGAGTAAATCAAACGTCACACAATGACATGGTTATCAGAAAACGGCAAATCACATGTCGGATATCAAGATACGAACAAACCAGAAATGCAATGCTATCCAGACAAAGAAAAGAGACCGAAGTAACCACAGTGGAACCCCCTACTCAGAGGTCTTGAAGACGTAGCGGTCCTCAGCCTTGCTGTTAAAGGGAACACCAAGCTCGAGGAGCTTGACGAAAACGTCAGAGAAATCCTTGAAGAAGGCATCGCTGTCCCTAGCATAGCGCTCGACGTGCTTCTTGAACTCCTTGTCCTTGACCAGGGCAAGATCGGTGGGAAGCATCATCAGCGTCTTGGTGGTCTTGTCAGTGAACTGGGCGGGGCCGTTCCACTTCCGGCTCTGCCACTTCTCATCAATAAGCAGACGGAAGAACTCGTTGGTGAAAACAGTGGGGCTGAAGTCCCAGGGGCCGTCGAAGCCAGAGCGGTCGGTGTGAGCCCGGCCCAGGGCGTGGGCACCGGACAGAGCAACGATCTCCTGGTCGTTGAATCCCATGCGGTAGAAGATGTCACGGATGTGCTTCTGGTCCTTGGAAGCATCGGGGAGACGTCCGTCAGGCGTGCAGGCAGCTACGTCCCTGTCCTGACGGCCAGGGCGCCAGGGGATGGTGGGACCACCCAGTTCCTGGATGGCGCAGGCGCCGGCCAGAGTCCAGAGATCGGAGTAGGTAATCCAAGGGAACTGGGCCTTGATGGGCTCGAGGAAGTCCCGAGCAATCTTGAGACCAGCGTTGGCGCCGTGATCGGACTCGGGGGCGAATCTCATGGTAGCGCCGTTGCTTCCTCCAGTGCCGGTCTCCTTGTCATAGGTACCACTTGCGTGCCATGCCAGGCGGACGAGGACCTATCAAATCACCAGAGGTCAGCACTCTGTTCATTGTCCGTGTATTTTCTTGACAAGCGGAGGAGGACTTACTGGTCCATAGCTGCCATCGTCATAGTCGGTCTCATCGGCAAGACGGCGAGCAATGGCATCGTACACCTTCTGGTAGTCCTCCTTGCTAGGAACAAAGGTCTTGGAGCTGACGGAGTCGCTGCCGTTCAGGTAGAAGTATGCACCGGCACCACCAGCAACGGCGAGACCAGCCCACAGGAAAACGTTAGAAGAGGACTTGCCCGAGTCGGCTTCGGAGGCATAGCCACGACGAGCAGCGACACGGAAGCCTTGAGATGGGAGAGCAAAGCGAGCAAAGCGAGCAGTGCGGACAGCAGGACGGAAGGAGGAGGTAGCAGGAGTGGAGCGCAAGAAGGCGCGCGAAGCAGATCTAGCAGCCGAAGCCATTGTGCAGGAGAGGAAGCGAAGGAAGGACTGTGTAGAGATAGTCGTCGAAGCTCTCGATTGATGGGGGAGGGGGAGAGGAAGAGGGATAGATATTATATAATATACAAGGTCAATTTCAATTTAAGAAGAACAGACTGAACCTGACAGAGGGAGAGGGAAGGAATAAGAATGATAAAGGAGGAGGACAGGGATATCTGCTCCTAATAAAGTGCAGCTGTTCCCGTTCCATAAGAAATCGATAATCCCCTCCTCCTCCTCCTGCTGCTCCTAGACTACAAAACGCCGAAGCCCATCGAAGCCCAGGAGGAGCCGTAAGCACCAACCACAATGCCCAGATTTGTGAGCTCTGGACCCGATTCTTTTGACTCAGCAGACATTCTCTCCGCATTTTCCCAGAGGTTCTTCTTTTCTTTGGCAAGGAGGGGATATCGGACACGAATGGCCGTGGCAATAGGCCGATCCATGGCTCCCAATGCTCGTTTGCCTCCTGCACCTCAGATATACTGATCATTCATTCTCGAGAGATCTATCTACAGTTGCTTGCGTTGATACCATTATCTTTCTGTCAAAACAAAGATTGACGGAGTACTAGCAACGATGATAACCGAAGATGGCTCGTCGGGCGGATCCCCGGCACCCCGTCGTCCATCACAACATTATTAACAGGAACACGCTCTTTGGCAGAGTCTCAAGACTCAAGAGTCAAGCGTCTCAATAACCGCGGCAGATTCCGATCTCCACTCCTCACTCTCACGCTCATTCTTCATTGGTGTTCCTGTTCTGCTTCCTGGAGGATTGGTTACTGTTTACTCATCTCACTCATCTTGAGTTCGAGACTTGCTGCGATTTATCATCAAGTCCAGCTGAGATTGAAGAGTTTGCTTGTTTATTATATCAGGTTCTGAAGGCTAAAATCTTCACCACGTCGACTTGGGTGCGCTGATTATCAATAACTTTAGACGGAACTCCCTCACAATAGACCTGGATAATACTCGAGACCAGTTGATGAAAGCAACGGACTGATGGTTTCGACATCATTCAGCCCTTGATTGCGCTATCTAGACATCTTACGTCGCCAACCCGGCTATGGAATAATGCTACCGGATGTAGAGAAGGTGTTATGTTGTATTGCTCTCTTCATGACCAGAAAGCCTAGAGTTCTTGCTTTAAATTCAAGTACAAAGAAGTATGGTTCCACGTACAGGATATTCATGTATAGAACAACAGGGTTTGCATTGATATACTCTCATCATGATATGATAAAGGTAAGATGTCCGTCGTAAAAATAGTCCTGCCGTTCGAAAGAGACGAACACCAGGGTGGAGTAGACGCAGCTCTGCTAAAAACTGTTTGGTTTTGATCTTCCACTGAACGAACAAGATAAAAAGCATACGACTTGGCCATTGAGAGACTAGACGCGTGCTGTGTGGTTATAACAACATTGGAACAAAGTATATAGGAGACACCATCGAGTCTTGAATTGAGATTACAGGCAATAGCTCATACATCAATGAGCATGTGCGAATTGTTGCTGGATGAGTGTTGAAGAGAAGGAGAAAAGCGTCTTTCTTCAGCGAAAGAAAAAGATGAAAACTTCGACAATCGAGGTCACCTGACTAAGAGCACACTAATCCTAGGCCCATATACCACGTGACACACGTCCAGCCAGCCCTTTATATTCTTCATCCTCCACACAACAATTTCTCTCTTTCTTTTTTCTCTCATTACACTTTTCATAACACTACGAACGCATAATCAACCTCCAAATCCTACTTTTTCCTACAGGTTGGTAGGTCATATTGGCGTACTAGAAGGAATTCCTAGGGCATAATAAGGCTCCTCTACCGTGCTGGAGTTTCTTCTGAGACTCTGAGTGCGATGGTGGGGTGAGTCACCTGCTGCTCATACATTCTATCACAACCATCATGAGATGGTATTCGTAGTGCGAAGCGTAGACTCTACTCTGTAGAGCATCAAGATGAACCATATAGATGGATGCCTCGAGTTGTTTCGCAAAAGCTGAAGACAATTTCGCTTGAGACGGCCCAATATCACAGCACAAGCCTCTTTCATGTGGTATTTATCCATGGTTTTTGTGACTTTGTCTGACAGACATGCAAACGATGGACTCAGATCATAAGATGATTATGAAGGAACCGAGAAAGTCTAAGAGAGAGTCACGGACGTTTTCTGTGCTTGGCAGTAAAATAGTCAAGACTCGAGAGTTGGTTGCCCCTGGCCTGGCGCGGTCTTGACTAGGGGATCTACCTATATCCAAAGGGAGGAATGTACAGTCCTGCACAAGACAATTTAGATTCTGCCCAAGAATCAACGGTAAAATAGCCATTGTACCTCCAAGTGTAGATTCAAAAACATCAGTACTATATCAAATCCATAAGATCGAAGGAATGTCTATCTAATAACCGAGAGCATAGAAATCGGCGCGGTCACTGTCTTCTGTTCTGTCTTCCCCACACCCACCATCTTATCATCCCTGACCACTTCGCTTTCTCTCTCACTTCTCCTCCTGGGCTAACTAACTGCTGCAATTCATCCTCGCTCCTCCTTCACTTCTCTTTTCTGACGATCTCGACCCTCTTCTCTGCTTGTATACTCTGAAAACTCATCGCCTTGAGCCTTGCATCCATATCGTGTAAATATGATTTGCATTCTTATTTGAGATCCCCCTATCTCCCGCATACGGAAGCTCGGCCCGCTCCCTGCCACTTTTTCTCCATCATTCGTGAATAGATTCTGTCTGCTCCAAACCCAGTTCACCTCTTGCTTGGAGTTTTGATACCCTCGGCTTCTGTTAGGTGCACGTTATCAACAAAGAGAGGGCCAGGTAGTCTCTCCGGATTTTACCAAGATGCCCAGCGTTGTCAGTAAGCGGCAGCAGCAACGCAATGAGAAAGCCTTGCAGGACCTCATCCGCTCAGTGCCGGGCAATGATCGATGTGCAGACTGTGGAGCCTTCAACCCAGGTATGCTCTTCGAGACCTTTATAGAATTGCAAGCCAGTCGCTGATAAGCCATTTGCACACAGGATGGGCCAGCTGGAATGTACGTATATCATTCGATTGCACACGACTCTACCTCCACGACACGATAACTGACCCGCATGGAATACAGATGGGAATTTTCTTATGTATGCGGTGCGCAGCTCTGCATCGTAAGCTGGGCACACACATCTCCAAGGTCAAGTCCTTGACCATGGACACTTGGACGGCCGATCAAGTTGACGTGAGTGGACGGGCCAAGTCAACAATTCGAGGACGCATGAGCTGATTGCCTATGGAACACAGAACATGAAATCCCACGGGAACAACCTCATGAACAAGATCTTCAATCCCAAGAACGTCAAACCTCCGGTCCCCAAGGATATCGACGAGGCCGATTCGAGCATGGAGCGGTACATCCGGCAGAAATACCAGTATCGTTCCCTGGAGGATGGAAAACCGAAACCTCCAAGTCGTCATGACTCCGGTTATGACAGGTCACCGGAAGGCTCACCTCCTCCACTGCCTCCAAAGTCTGGCCGGTTTTCGGGCCCTGGGTTGCGGTCCGCTTCTTCCACCTCGAACCTCCAGCGGTCGTCCAACAGACCCTTTGCGACCTCACCTCGATCCGAAAGACACGATTCCCCTCCACCCCGAAGCGTCTCCAACTCTGGCTCTCAAGGGTTTGGGCTTTCCGTCCGTGATACAAATGACGCATCATTTGAGTCGAAACTGGTCCAGCTGAGAGACATGGGGTTCACCAACGAGCGTCGGAACGCAGCGGCCCTGAAAGGTCTTGACGGTAACTTGAAGATGACCATCGAGACTTTACAGAGACTGGGAGAAGGACCTGCATCGCTGGGACGGCCTTTGGCATCTGGTAACTCCACAAACAATCATACTGGAGGGGACGGTTCCGTCAATCCTTTCGACCAGCTTGACTTCAAAGCGTCTTCCCAGACGAGCAGCGCGTACAATCCGTTTGATATGCCAACTTCACAAGGACAACAGCAACTCGCACCTGCGCCCGCGCCCGTGCAGTCTCTTGAGGCGTCATTCCAGCATTTACAGGTTTCGCAGCCGTTATTCCCGCATCAAACCGGAGGATATCCTGGTCGTCAAGCTTCGCTTCCTCAGCCCCTCTACCAGCACCCTCTTACCCCTCCTGTTACCTCGACCCAATCACAAGGCACATACGTCTCATCCCCACAAGCGTTCGACGGAAGCCAAAACCCATTTTTCCAGTCCGGAGCCCAGCCGCAAGCGCCCTTCACTAGCACACCACTCACCCAGAGCCCTGGCGTTGCTCAGACAAACCCCTTCTTCAGCCAGTTCGGAGCGGCGGCGACCTCAATGCAGTCACAAGCCCAATTAGGTCCTGGAGGGGCACTGCCTAATCCGCCCCAGCATGCGAACACCATGCCAGCATTGTCCTCCACGTCGCCCTTTAGTCAGGTTTCTTACCAGCAGCAACAACAGCTGCAGCAACAACAGTTCATCCAGAGTCAACCACATTTGCAGGCACAGCCGTTGCAGCAGGGGTTTGCCTCCCAGAATCCATTCCAGTCGATGGCAGCCCCAAATACACCACAGAATGCGGTCTATCAACCCCAGTACCAGTCACAACCACAGAATGGGCTGCAGCAGCCCGCTCCGTACCTTGCCGCTCAGCCCACCGGCCGCGTGGACAAGGGCAGCATCCTCTCTCTGTACAATACGTCCTCTGCACCAGCATCCGGGATGCCGCACCCCTCTCAAATGCAAGCCCCGACAGGAATGTCGCTGAACCAAGCGCACCAAACCCAGCCAATGCCGAGTATCAACGAGCATCAGACCAACGGCCCGCAGGCCTCCGCTGCTCCCCAGTTAGCCGGGTCACGAAATCCTTTCATGGGTGGGCAACCAGCAGCACTCGGGGCGCAAGGCACCGCCGGTGGTGGATTCGACCTGACACCAAAAGCCCCCCAGCTGAATGGCAATTTCCCAAGGACCCACATGAGCCAGCAGAGTGTAGATATCAATGGCTTTCAGAGCGGACGGCACAGCCCCGACGCCTTTGCCAATCTGAGCGCCCGTTACCGGTAACCCTTTCTTTCCACCGTCAGCCCTGTCTTCCGAAGACGCTCTGAAAATATTTCTTCTGTGTATATCCACATATTGTATCTGATCTTGGCGAAATTTGTTGGTGACAATTGGTTGCATCATTGGCTGGCGTTTTTGATTTTGGCATTAGAATGAAGAATTGCGGGCATTGTTGAGCCCCCGTGTATGCTACGCTACGGCTGGACATATCAGCAAGGGTATATAGTACAATTCAGGGACAAAAAATGGAATACCGTCTATCAAGGCCAAGATCATCAATAAGGAGACAATCGCTATAGATCCGAGCCGAGTTTTGCTATGGTTTGTTGTGAATATAGTTACAGCACATAAATCAGATCCAGAATCCCAGGAGGTATCACATGCACGCATTTTTCCAACAAGTTGACGGATTGAGAGAATACAGCTCTTACGACCACAGATCCCGCTCGAGAACCTTCTTGGTCTTCTTCTTCTGCCTCCAGGCCTTGAACCAGTCCCCTCCCCAGGCCGTCCATGATGATTGTGTTCTTGGCCACTGCGGAATATGAAAATCTAACCAGGATCTCCGCTTCCGCTGGCCCCACGGCCAGTGCCACGACGACGGCCACGACAGAGACAACGAGGACGACGGGGAGACGGAAGAAGAAGACGAGATCCACCGACGGAACGGAGAGAGCCTGCCATCCCGCTTCCCGTTCGCTTCTTTCCGAAAACTCTCAATGATCCGGTCGAATTGTCTATCGCGTTTCTCGAGGTCCCGTTGGCGGGTGACGGATCGCCAGGCCTGTTGTTCGGCGGGGTCAAGGCACCAGACCACGATATCGCCTTTGCGGCGCCAGTCGTCGTGCCAGGCTGTGTTGAAGGAGCGCCAGCATTCGGCGTAGGAGCTGGCGCGGAGGAGGGATTGGAGGGTGGGCTCGAGCTGGGCGAAGAAGATGAGGTAGTCGGGCCATTCGTGGATGGGATTGGGGTGGTTAGTGTTTGTATTCGGCGGCTGGGGTTGTGGTTGCGTGGAGAGGTAGGATGGTTTCCGGGGGATGTGGCGGAGGCCGCCGGCCATGTGTTCGCGGAGGAACTGGGCGGGGTTGGCGTAAAATTGGTCCCCTTCGTCCATGTAGGTAGCTTTCTGGGCGGCGGTTTGGTCAACGGGGGGCTCGCAGGTGAGAGCCCAGGCGTGGATTGTGGGGTAGACGAGGTGGGAGCGCCAGGGGGTGCTGTGGCAGGGCATGAGAAAGCCGGCTGTGATTCCGCGCTGAGAGGGGTCTTTGACTGGGCGACTGAGCGTTGAAGGAGTTTGGGCGGCCGGAGCATGTAGCTCATGCTGTTGCCGGAGGTATGAGAGCACGTGGGACGGCCCGGATGCGTGGTAAATGGTTGTGTAGAGGGCAATGACGATGTTAACCAGCAATAGGAAGACGAGGGTGAGCCTCCTAGGCATATACGAGCGAGACGAGCGGAGGACCGCAGGCAGGAAGTAGTCCACCAGAGGTGGTGCAGTTAGGATGTGAAGAGACGGTAAAAGGGGATAGATGAATCGTACTTCCTTGTGAGAGACCAGGGATAGTACAAAGGGCATGACCACGCATATCAGCGCAAGCTGAGCTTGTACGAGAGACTGTAACTGCCCCAGTCCGGACGTCCGAACCTGGGCCAGAGCGCGGTACAGGCCAATGAGAGTGAACGGCAGTGCGGTGGTAAGTAGAAGGGGAAACCCCTGCGTGATATAATAATGCCAGTCATTTCTCCCGTAGAAGACTGCTAGAGACTGGGCAATGTTGAAATACAGGAATTTCAAAGGAGGGAACGTCCAGCTCCCGTAGAAAAGCCGATCTACCACGGACGATAAACCCAGAACGGCACAGCTATGAGCTTATCAGCTATCATTTCGCAACGCGCCTGGCAACACAACCCACCCGCAAAGCAATACCTCGCGCACGAGGATTCTCCTCTTGTCCCAAGAAGTTCGAAACCATGCGACACTGGCCAAACTCATCCAGATGAGAACGTTTGTCGGTCGTAGAATACAGGCGACAGCCGCTAGGGACAGACATTGACGTAGCCTGCGCTGCTGTGTGAGTTATATATAGATCCAATGGGCATCCACCGTACCTCTGCAGCGAGTTTGACATCTCCTGACCCTTCTGAGCACGCTCCCTGCAGGCCGCGCGAGTAGCCCTCTTGCGTTCCGGTGTCACAAATGACCAACTCCAGGGCCACAAGGAGAGAGCAACAATGGTAATTGTTGTTTCAAGGCAATTAGACAAAGTCCTGGTGGAACAAAACCATTGCCATGGGCTAACGACAGTCAAGGCAAGCTTCGACAGTCAACCTCGGTCCTCATATCAATTATCAAGCGAACAATGACATGAACATACAGTAGCCCAGGCCTCGTAACTTCGAGCGCCATAGACATAGCGAGCCAACTTCCAAGTATAAAAGTCCCCGAGCCCCGCGATTACCGCCTGCGCAGTTTGAGGAGCGGCGACGAGGAGATCCGCGCGCGATGCGGGGGAGAGGCGGAGAAGCTGGGCGACGACATCGGCGGCGGAGTAGACGGCGGCGAAGAGGAGAGGATGGATAGAAGACCTCAGTTGATGTCTCCATTCCTATATCGGTGGCGTCAAGTATCCAGAAATTAGCAACTGAAATGAAATGATGTGACTGGTTGGAACACAATCGAAAGCGACGCAAGACTGCAGACAATAATGTTGGGGGATACGACTCCACTAACCCAGGTTATCCATGCCCCCTGATTTTCTCCAAATGCGATTTGCCAGGCAGGCTCAAGGGATTGAAAGAATTCATCAGGCTGGAAAAAGGTGCGAACAGTAAATGCGTTGAGTAGACGAAAAGAGATTAAGAACAGAAGGATATTAATTGACAAGGGCGTTGTTGATGTCGGTGATGTTTTGGTATTACTTGATGGAGGAGATTGTGGCCTCAGGCGCGAAGTCGGCGGTGATGGGGAGAGAAAGGACGGAGACGACGAAGAGGAAGACGTGTAGGACCTCCTTCGACGCGACGAGGACATGATCGCAGGCAAATGTCACTGAGCGTATCTATCTATCCCCGCGATATCCTCCGATGCCAGCAAGAGATCAAAATCAATAAACCATAGGCCTTGGTCTGAGGCCAAGAGGACAAAGTGTCCGGGCCGGCAAAAAGCGACGGGATCCGCCCCGGTCGCGCAGTGGAGGCGCGGAAAAGATGAGTAATGGACAGGACGACAATGGATGAATATGCACGGAGTTGACGAACCGGAAGCCCCAGATCAGCCAGGCGAAGAAGGAATAAAGTCAGGTGGAAAGCAAACTGACTGGATCACTGGAGGAATGGTGGATCGCCGACATCATCGTTGTTGGGGATAGCGGGTAGACCTGCACTTAGCGATATACAGCGGGTAAACCTGCACTTAGGGGTCTAGTCCTCCTTCTGAGCCCATGTCTCTTGCCTCAAAAAGGTGACACCAGCGGGTCTCAAGCCTGCGTATTGGAATGGCGATTTCTACCAATTTGCTTTTTTGCCGTTTTTTCTTCATTTCCCACGGTGCTCAATTCTAACAGGTGTTTCCGATCCTCGTGCTATTAAAGGACGGTGACTTACTCGTTCGTCTCTGACTGTTCAGCGGACATTTCCTCCCCATCTTATCTTTCTTTGTTCGAACCATCTTGCTTCATCTTACCCTTGATCAACACTATCTCTTTCAAGATCACCTCGTCTCTTCTTTCCGCCATCATGTCTGCCCACGGCACCAGTTCTTACCATGCTTCCTCCACCCAGGAGGCCATTCAGGCGGAGAAGGAGTTCGCAGCCCACAACTACCACCCCCTCCCTGTTGTCTTCGCTCGTGCTCAGGGCACCTCCGTTTGGGATCCTGAGGGCCGCCACTACCTTGACTTCCTGTCAGCGTACTCTGCCGTCAACCAAGGCCATTGCCACCCCAAGTTGGTGGCTGCTCTTGTCGACCAAGCCTCACGATTGACCTTGAGTTCCCGTGCCTTCTACAATGACGTCTTCCCCCGGTTTGCCGAATTCGTCACCAAGTACTTTGGTTTCGACATGGTTCTGCCCATGAACACCGGAGCGGAAGCCGTGGAAACGGGAATCAAGATTGCTCGTAAGTGGGGCTATAAGGTTAAGGGCATTCCGGAGAACCAAGCCGTTGTTCTGAGCGCGGAGAACAACTTTCACGGACGTACTGTAAGTGCACGAGAATCAATGGACCCGATCATTATCGGTTGACCGACCTTCTTATTCTAGTTCGCTGCTATTTCCCTGTCCTGCGATCCTGAGTCGCGCGAAAACTACGGTCCGTATCTGCCAGGTATCGGATGCACAATCCCTGGAACCGATAAGCCCCTCAAGTACAATGACAAGGCGGCCTTGCGGGAGGCCTTTGAGAACGCGGGACCCAACCTTGCCGCCTTCCTGGTAGAGCCTATTCAGGGCGAAGCAGGCATTGTCGTCCCCGACGATGACTACCTGCAGGAGGCGAGAGCTCTGTGTGATAAGCACAATGTCCTGCTCATCTGTGATGAGATCCAAACGGGTATTGCCCGTACAGGCAAACTGCTCTGCCATGAGTGGAGCGGAATCAAGCCCGACCTGGTTCTGCTGGGCAAGGCCATTTCCGGTGGCATGTACCCTGTGTCCTGTGTCTTGGGTCGTAAAGACGTCATGCTCACCATTGAGCCTGGTACCCACGGTTCCACTTACGGCGGTAACCCTCTCGCCTGTGCTGTGGCTATCCGAGCCTTGGAGGTCGTTCAAGAGGAACACATGGTTGAAAGAGCCGAGAAACTCGGTCACGTCCTCCGCGAGGGCCTGAAGGCTATCCAGAGCCCCATCATCCAAACCGTTCGTGGCAAGGGGTTGCTCAATGCGATCGTCATTGACGAGTCCAAGACCAATGGACACACTGCTTGGGATCTCTGTATGCTGATGAAGGAGAAGGGCTTGTTGGCCAAACCAACCCATCAGAACATCATTCGCCTTGCTCCTCC